AATGGGCATGTTCTAACTGTCACTTGGAAAAAAATGATCACTTGAGATCAATGTGTACGGCGAGTCTTTTGGCAGGAAACCAGTCATATCATTCTCTCCAATAGGGCCTTTGTGGGGAAAAGGCCTTATCAAATTCCTTGGACATGAAGTTACTGTTGGAACCATTCTATTCTCAAACCACTCTATCACCAGGCAAAAAAAGCTTCAGCTTTTGAAAGGTCAGAGTAGCCTTATAATTTATACCATGTGGTAATAGTTAGGAAGTGAAGATGGTTATAATATTATGAAGCTTTTGGTCTTATACATCTGTCTTTTTATCAGTTTTATTTTATTTTAATGGACAATGAATAATGTATCCAGTTATGCAATACAAAGATGATATTTTTGAGATAATTGTAGATTGTGATTTTATACCTGTTTATAAGAAGAACGTTTGTCATAAAAAAAGCCACAACTTCTTGCTCTAATCATTAGAGAGACCAAACACAAGAGACAGGTAATAACTCTAACCCCATCCTGGACTTCCAAGTACAAAATAAGGTTATTCAAATTGCGAGATATAGACTGGAAAATAAAATGCATAAAAAGGCATATTTATTTCTCATGAATAAAAAACTACTTTGCTAAAAATTAATCTTGTCTTTTTAAATTAATATCTATTTATTTAGTTTTGTGTTTATTCTTATGTGTGAATTAGATAGGACAACAAAAGTTTTGAAATGGAAACATACTATTAGTGGATGTTATATGTTTTGAAAAGGAGCTGAATGATAAATCTCAAAATTGAATGAGTGGGGAGGTAATGAATTTTTACTGCAAAAAAGGGAACACTAGGCCTTGTGGGATATCAAAAGTGGATATGCTGTGTTAATAAAGTAGGTCTTGCCCACTAGTATCACAGCATACATCTGAATTCGTTTATGTATCTGTAAAATAAAAAGAAATCCTTCTCTAGGCAGTCGAAAAAAATGTTTTTAAAGGTTTTTGCCATAGAGTGCATGTGCTTGCCAGAGAGAGACAGAAACAGTGAGAGAAAGTGAGAAATCACCCCCCCTCCCAGGAGTGATGTCCACACTCTCTTCTCCTCCGTTCTCTTCCTGGGATTTTGGGCATGCATGCACATTTTACTGGCATGAATTTCAAGCTCTGAGATCCAAGGCTGTGGTTTGCCATGTGAGAGTCCAACACTCCAGCTACCATGCCACCTGCTAACCTCAGCAATATAAATGTTTTTAGTTCAGTTGACCAACAGATAATGAGGGGAAAGCTAATGGTTTGTGGAACAAATGAAATTAAAGTATGAGTTTATTTGGTGCAAAAAATTAAAATCTATGCATAGTGTTTTTTTCATAATATGTATTTCTCATGGACTTTTGAAAATCCATAGTACTATAAATTCAAAGTCTGTATTATTAAATACACTAAGTGTAACTCCCTATACACTCACTGAAAGACTATGTTTATTTTATGTCAGAAGTGTATGTATAAACGTTGTAAAGTTTCTTGTTCGTTCCTATGAACTTTTGGTAGATTTGTTAAGGTCTGATTTTGCTCCTCTTCTTCAAATGCACTGAGAAGAACCTTGCTCTCCTGTAGAATATAAACTTGTTGTGACCTCTAATTCTCGTGAAAGAAATAAATAAAGCTTTTACGAATGAAAGTTTGAATACATTTACACAATATTCTCAATTTGCTCAGTTGTTCAAACTCTATTTTTCTAAAACAGAGTATTTTAAACAAGTTTTTGGTGGCATCTTAATAAATAATCTCATCAGTGGACAAGAAGAATAGAGAACAAAGAGTTTCTCATTAATTTATATTAAAAACTAGTAACTTGAGCTTATCTTTATCCTTCTTACCTTTGTCCTTCTTTAGCTCTCAAAAGAATCTTTCTTGAGACCAGCAGTTAGCATAGTGGCTATGTCACTGGACTCCCATGTAGCTGACCACGGTTTGAGTCCTGGACCCAGTGGTGTAAACTCATGCTGGACACATGTGCGTACATGCCCAGGATCCCGAGAGGAGTATGGAGGAGAAGGGATTGCGGCGTGGCTATCCCCCCTGGGGGGTGATATTTCGCTTTCTCTCTCTCTGTCCTCAGTCTTTCTGGCGAGCGCACGTGCCCTATAGCATAAAAACTCTAAAAAGAAAAAAAAAAAAAGAATCTTGCTTTACACATTGTGGCAATTTTGCCTTAAATTGACAGTCATTTGTACCATGTGTATCACTTTGAAACTTGCATATGTGTTTATTTACCATAATCTTGGTTTTGGAGATAGTGAAAAGCCAGAATTTTTGTTTCTAGCCAAGGATATTTGAGAGCATAAAACACACAATGCATTAGAAGCATATATTCCCGTGCTTGCTTATAGAACATACAATTGTGTCTGCCTGCAATAGTGTGTGTTTGTAAGTATCCATAGCTATAAAATAAGAGTGCTGAATTATAATTGTGTCTTGCGGAAAAATTTGGACCCACTTCATACTTTACCAGTGAACTGATATTTCAAAGAACGTATTTCTTTTGAATGCATTCTGTGATTTTATTTCTCTTAAATGTGGTTGTGTTAAGTTGATTAAACTTTGCCACCAAAAAGATCTCAGCATCTTTTCTTAGCAATGAAAGCAGAATTGAAAAATTAGAGTAATAGAGAACAGTAAATAATCTCATTATTAAATAATGCTTTCCTTGTCCTACTAGCTTCTCCAAATGGGTACTCCTCAAACTCTCAACTTATTTAAATCTTACATTTTAAAACACATTTTGTTTAATGTCTTTTAAAAAGTACCTGCTATGACTATTAAACTTACTACATTTATCCTTTGACATTCTGCAAGAGAAATATGAATTAATCATTGAGTTTGTCCAGCAAGGAAAGATGCATCTGACTGATATACTGCATGCTTGCAAAGTGGCACACACAAGCTATCTCTGAGATTCTAGCACAAGAAAACATTCCCACAGCTATTGTGTTGCTGTTTGCTCAGTTCCCAGTCTGCTAGAATTCTGTCTTGGTAGTACAGGATGGAATCTATGGTTACGTAATGTAATGTTGATTTTTTTCATTGGGCTGCCTGAAAACATACAGGGTTACTTACTATCTGTTAACAGAAAAACTGGGCCAAGGGTTATTGCGTATCTTTTGAAACCATTTACAAGAAACCGTTTATTAATGTTACAAAAATTACATTCTGTTAAGAATCAAAAAGTATTGTATCTGTATATGTTACTAAATATGAAGTCTAGCCAGGCAGTAAAAGAATATTTCCATTATTCCTTATAATGGTACAGATACATTTAGAATGAGGAAAAGCATATGTTAAAGAGAAAATGATAAGTTTTCTTTGAAGTCTTCCCAGAGAACAGATTTTACATGAAGGACAACTACGTGGTTTCTTTCATATCCAGCTCTTAGTGTTGTTGACTTTTTTTTGGCCAGCTTTATATTTTATGTGCTTCCTTCCTTGATTTTTTTTTCTTGTTTTTTTTTTTTTTTTTTTTTTTTTTGTTTTTTTTTCTTTTATTTTTAAGAATTTTTTAAAAAAAACCCTCCTGAAAACATACAGGGTTACTTACTATCTGTTAACAGAAAAACTGGGCCAAGGGTTATTGCGTATCTTTTGAAACCATTTACAAGAAACCGTTTATTAATGTTACAAAAATTACATTCTGTTAAGAATCAAAAAGTATTGTATCTGTATATGTTACTAAATATGAAGTCTAGCCAGGCAGTAAAAGAATATTTCCATTATTCCTTATAATGGTACAGATACATTTAGAATGAGGAAAAGCATATGTTAAAGAGAAAATGATAAGTTTTCTTTGAAGTCTTCCCAGAGAACAGATTTTACATGAAGGACAACTACGTGGTTTCTTTCATATCCAGCTCTTAGTGTTGTTGACTTTTTTTTGGCCAGCTTTATATTTTATGTGCTTCCTTTCCTTGATTTTTTTTTCTTGTTTTTTTTTTTTTTTTTGTTTTTTTGTTTTTTTCTCATTGATTTGTAAGCAGTTTATGAACAAAATCCTGTCATTGAATTTTCTGGTATATCTCTCTGCCAAAGAAATTAAAAGAGGTAGATATTGACTCTTGATGATACAAATTATTAATTTAGGCAGAACTATGACGTTTCATTGGGAAGCTGAAAGTTATTAAGAGCAAAATGGGTAACTGTACTTGTGCTTCTTTCCAATATAGGAAGGTTCAAGAAATTAAATAACTTAATGTGGTGGAATAAGTATTAGGCCAGGAGGTGGAAATTTTACCAGTAGTTCTGCTATGAACTCACTATGCAACCTTGCTTTCTTTGCTTAACTGTAGAGTGAGGAAGTGGGGCCAGTTGACTTTTAAATTACCTTCTATTATCAGACTAATTCTGTTTTAATGAAGGGCACTAGAGTTTCCTTGTAGCAGTTCCCTGTGGCAGATAATATTTCTATTAAATACCTAGAATGCAAGCCTTGGGTTCCTCTGAGCTGAAATCTTACTAACATGTCCCCAAAGGAACTACCCTCTTAGTACCTACAGCTCTAATCTTATAAAAAGATGTGATTAAATATGGAATTCTTAATTTTGTAGTTGTGTTGTTGTTTAGTTTATTTTTTTGCATTATTTTAGCAATATAACGTGATTTTCTTTTTTGCCTTTCACCTTTACCAACTGTCACTAGCAAAATTACTAGATTGGCTAATAGTTGTGAACGACAAAGAGTCTAATCACTACCATTCATGCTCTGCAGAGAACAAAAACGCTCTATCCACATATAATGCTTTTATTCTAATGCTCGCGTGCCCTTTGTCACTATCGGTGTTGCCAGTCTCATGTATATGTGAGGAGAGAACAGACAATGCCTTGCCATAGTATATGGTCAGGCAGCAAATAGACCATTCACACCGAATGTGAATCATAGACCACTCACACCGAATGTGAATCATAATGTGAAAGCACTCCTGCTATTGTATTATTCCCTATGTCAGCTGTTTTCTACTTGTTTTGCAGGACAGCCTTAAAGATTAATCAGAGAACCTGTTACTCATAAAGGTAGGGAAAAAAAACCTTTTCTGATTATAACATATATTGCATTTGTTTTAGCTATGTTTTGATTATGTACTACCATTGTCAGATACATGCTGCTTATGCTGAATAAGTGAAAAGTGTATGATATCTACTTACTTGCCAAACTTGAAATCATCTAACACAAGTTTGTCATTTTGAATTTTTCATCTGGGCTGTTTGTGTTTTTTTTGTAAATAGAATTTATTCTTTGTTTTAACTTCTATACTACCTTTATACTTTTATGATAGCTTGACATTACCAAACATAATTTCCAGCAATCTTATATACATATATATTTATTATAGAGAGAAATATAATGATTAGAAACTGTGAATTTCTTGCCCACCATAATTTCACATTTCCCTGGCTATTCTAAACTTGTAAATTTTAAAGTAACAACTAAAGTAATCAAACATATAATTAGCTGTCAATGATATAAGAATACAAATGTTAATTTGGAAGAATTTGCTTCAGTATTTGCTTTACTTGATATAGTGCAGAAAATGTGGCCCTTTTCTTGGTTAGGATGTATATGAGGATAAATTTAGAATATCTCACCTAATAAATACTTCTTTGATAATAACTTAATTGTAGCTATTTCAAACCAAATTGTTTAATCATGGTGAGTCATATGCAAATTTTTCAGATGTAGGTCAGCCCCACTCCCACATTCTAGCACCTCTTTTCTAATTTAGGACAAACTGCTCAATGCCCCAAAGAGCAGAACAGTGCAGATTAGAGACATACAGCAAAAAGCCAAATAACAATAACGTAAAAATCAACAGTGAGCCGGGACTCAGAAAGTCTGTAGTGTCAAAGCAGTTGCATTTGTTTGTACTTTGGTCGGTGATGTCTTAAGCTTGCTGTGTGTTTGTAGGCAAGAGTTTCTTCACTGTTCATGAGATTTGTAGCTCACAAGTAATGGTTCTGTTAGGATGTTGAGTTTCCTCATCTGTAAAGTACTGTAAAAACCTCATTCTATCTACTGATTAAATTGAAATGAGGATGAAGTAAAACAAGGATTGTAAATGGATATATGACTCCTTGAAGACCATATGAAAAGAATGTGCTATTTTGGTGACCCAGTTGAGTGGCAAAGGAATGGGCCTCATATGACCGGTTGGCAAGAATACTGGATGTATCACTGGGTGAGACCAACTGACATTGCAGTTGCTGAAACTAAAGAAGTCCTTTGTTTTCCTAGTGGTTACAATATATTTGTAATGCACATGCTTTTGTGATGAAGTATTATATTATTTTCTGATTTATGGCCAAGGTTTGATGGTTCTATTTAATCCTTATATGTCTTCTGCTGTACTTTCGAAAAAAAAAGATTTTAAAAAAAGTTCAGTTAGCACTACATTGAAAAATGGTAAAGGAGATGCATACATTTATTGTATTTGTTATCTTTTGCCATTAGGTGATTATTGTTTATGTTTTTCATATATGTACAGAAAATGGGTAGCCTTCCTGCATATTGATAAAAAATTATGTTTTTAGTTTCTTTCTAATGAAGCTAGAATTCTGCTTTAATATTAACATAATTTTAACTTTAGCACCCTTCTTGGAATATGATTATTCAAGAATTCTGATCTATTTCAGCACAAAACTTTATGCTCTAATATTTTCTAAACTTTATAATTTAAAAAAAGTAGAAACTATTTGTTTAACTTTAGAGTGGGAAAATAGATTGTATATTCTTTCTATTTCTTCTGATATAAATATCTTTGTTGTTCAAATTATTAAAAATAGATAATCATACTATACTAAAAATTATATTTCCCTCAAGGTCAACTGCTGCTAAAGTTTTGGTATTAACTCTTCCAGACTCCTTCTTTATGTACATAAACATTGATATCAATATGTGCACAAATTGTTTTCCTAACATATGCACAGTTTGGTGTTTGTTTTACTGTTTTAGTTATGGACATCCTTCTAGTCAACATATCTTATCTATTTCATTCTTTTTATAGCAGTTTATTAGACAATATTTTGGCTATATCATTTATTTAACAGGCTCTCTAAACTTTTTAAAATAGAATTTTAAAATAGAATAGAAAGAGACCTTCCTTAATTTACTTTGACAGGCATGAAAAAGAATAATTCACATTTGTACATTGAATAGAGAAGTTAAGAAATGAGGGACCAACAGTTGCCATAATGGCTATGGCACTGGACTCCCATGTAGTCGACCACGATGCGAGTCTTGAACCCGGTGGTTTAAACTGATGCTGGGCATGTGTGCATGCATACCAAGATCCTGAGAGGAGAATGGAGGAGAAAGGATTGCAGTGTGGCCATCCCCCCAGGGGGTGATTTCTCACTTTCTGTCTCTGTCTTTCTGATGAGCGCACACACCCTATAGCAAAAACCTCTAAAAAAAAAGAACGAAAGAAAGAAAGAAAGAAAGAAATTAAGAAATGAACAAAGAAGTGGAAAAGACGTACAGGAAAAATAATATTAGGTAAATACATCTCAATGGTCAGAGGAAAGAAGATGTAGCAATATAGAGACTCATACAACTGTGTTGTAGGTACATGAAACTTAAAATCTATCAATTTCTTCAAAGTTTACCCCAAATGACACCCCTTGCTTCTTCCCTTCACCTCTAGTCTCTCACCAGTGGTCTGCCATCTCTGTAGTAGTTCAGGGAGAAATAGATCATATCATAGTATGTCACATCACAACCTTCATTTTTATCTTTTTTCCTTTAATGTTGAATTTGAATTTACATTACTTACTACAGACTTAAAATTTTGTTAGCCTCAAAGCATTGTACACTTGTAAGACATTATTATTCTTGTTGTTAATAGTATAATAAAGTTAGCACTGGGGATTAAAATTATGGATGTTTACTTACAAAATAGCAGTAATTCATAAAAGGAAGCAATTAAAATAATTTGCCATAGAGTGCATACTCTTGCCAGAGAGAGAGAGAGAGACAGTGAAAGGGAAAGTGAAAAATCACCCACTAGTGGGGATGGCCATGCTACAATCCCTTCTCCTTCATTCTCCTTTTGGGATTTTGAACATGCACTCACATACCCAGAGTGATTTTCCAACTGCCAGGTCAGGAACTCAAACTGCAGTCCACTAGGTGAGAGTCCAGTGCCTTAACCACCATGCTACCTGCTGGCCCCAAGAAACAATTCTTCATGCAACCTCTGTAAGAAGAAAGGGAACATTGTTTGCAGTATTTTACATAATGCAGATAGCCACAACCAACAAAAAGTAGTTATTAGCATTTTAAATCATGCCTGAAAAACCTCTGGTTCCACCTAGGCTGAATTCAGTGCAATACAAATTTAAAACTGGAGAATACATATATTGATTTCTATTTCCTTCATGGAAAAATTAAGAATTAGTGAGTATAAAAAATCTATTTTAAACCTCAATGTAATACCTAGTGCGTCATATTTCTCTTTTCATTTGAATTGTAGTAAAGCTCCATTTCTGCACATACTTTTTACTGGGAAAATAATGTAATCACTGGAAAAAGAGAAAGAATCATCATCAATCTTTTTCTAAGTTTTTTTTTTCCCCCTAGCTTATTGATGACCTTTGTAAGCCTAGAGCCTGAAATAAGAGTTTTCAGAGTTCTCTTCTTTTCTTTGTTATGTATTTGGTAGAGTTACAAATTCAGGTGTCTCTAGGACCCATCCATGGAACAACAATGGATGCCGTAACTATTAGACAGTAAGGCATGAGGTGGACTGAGGAGCAAATATCAAGATGGTCTATAAAGTCTACTTCCAGTCATTCCGGTTAAATTTCCTAACCAGTTGTAAATTCTAGTGATCATTAACTTCAGAAGATTTAGGAAGTCAAATATGGACATTTGTATGTAAAATATCATGGCTTTGAATGTTAGCTCAAATTTTACAAAGAAAGGAAAGAAAGAAGAAATAAAACAAAGGAAGCAATCAAGGTATACCCTAGGCAGGGAATTTAATAGCTTTACATAGATGTCACATAAATATTTGCTCAAGGAATGAATGAATGAATCATGAGCCTCTATGAAAGGTTGTGAAAATAAAGAACACTCTACCTCTTGCCTGCCCATTAGAACTGCATACAAGATTTTAGGAAGGACCGTAGTTGTAGCAGCATATCTGGAGACTTGCCAGGTCAATCAGCCTCTGAATTCTAGAAGTCAGTAAGACCAGAAGTGGGACAGTGAGAGTGAATTAAGTTAGCTTAAGGGTTTTGTTAAAATATACTTTGAGGGGTTGGTGGGTGACATGGTGGTTAAGGGTGCCGGTTTCCCATATGGCTGACTGCTGTTCGAGTACCGGACAAGTGGCTTTCTCTCTCTCTCTCTTTCTCTGGTAAAATAAAAATAAATAAAGTTAAATAAAATAATTCTTTAAAAAATCAAAATGGGTCATAAATTTATAAAAACTATACTTTGCTATGCAAAAAGAAACAATTTTTGATACATTTTTATCTGACTCATTGTTAAAATATACTTTGAGGGGTTGGTGGGTGACATGGTGGTTAAGGGTGCCGGTTTCCCATATGGCTGACTGCTGTTCGAGTACCGGACAAGTGGCTTTCTCTCTCTCTCTCTCTCTCTTTCTCTGGTAAAATAAAAATAAATAAAGTTAAATAAAATAATTCTTTAAAAAATCAAAATGGGTCATAAATTTATAAAAACTATACTTTGCTATGCAAAAAGAAACAATTTTTGATACATTTTTATCTGACTCATAACCTATCTTAAGCTACTAATTTATTATACTCTTTTATTCAAACTTCTGTAAATCTTTTGTCCTTTTATAATCATGAAAATAAATGGTAAATCAAGGTAATGGATCAATAGAAAGTCAAGAGACTAGAAAAATAAAAAGTCAAGAGACTAGAAAAATAAAAGTCAAAAATGCAAATCTTGTCACATAATCATTACTTAGTAAGCTGGATCCAATAGACCCTGGGTTGTTTTACATTCTGACCCATTTCAAATTTACTTTCTTTGTGAGGACTGTCTTTTTTTCTTTCTTAACCAATTTACCCTTGGCTTTTCTATTTTAACCCTGTTACATGTGTTTCAGTGCCCCTAAGGTATTTACTTACAGTTGTTCACATCTATTTCTTTCCTAGTAGAATTAAGAATCTTGACCAGAAACAATGTCTTACTTTTGTTTGATTTTTCTTTAATTTTTTTTTCATCTGTCCATAATACAGTGGGTGTGAATGCATGAGAGAGATAAAGTCATGTGTGTGTTGGGGACTGGGGGGAGTACCAAACCCTACACAGTCCACAGGACTTGGACAGGCCACCATTCCCTTCTTTCAGTCCTTCATCCTGCCAGGATCCTGGGCCATGCACACACACCCCAGTGTGTCTTCAGGCCTCAGACCAAGATTCAAACTCTGGTTATCACACGGCCTCCAGCTCTGTAGTCTGGCACTACCAACTTGCTACAAAAACTTGGCCAGAAACAATACCTTTGAAACAATCTTAAGATTACCAAAAATATGCCAGTATAGTACAGGAAACTTTTTCCTCTGAACTATTTAAAAGTTAACTACCCGCTAATACCCCATTGCCCCCAGCTCCTTTAGAACATGTCTCCCTCAATCAAGGACTTTTGCCATGTAACCACAATAAAATCAGCAATATCCAGGGCTCTGCACTGAATCGTGCACCCACCTGCCCCCTCGCCCTCGTGATTCCTATGCTGAAGCTCTAAGCCCAGGTACAGTGGTATCTGATGGTGGAGCCCTTGGGAAGTAATTAGGTTTAGATAAGATCTTGAGGCTGCAGTCCTCATGATAGGATAGTGCTTTTATATGAAGAGGCAACAGAGAGCGGAGCTGGCTTCCTCGGTCTCTACCATGAGAGGGCATTGCTAGAAGACTGCTATCTGCAACAGAGAAGAGAGCCCTCGTTTAGTAACCCAGTTGATCAGTAGATCTTGGACTTTCCCACCTCCAAAAGTCTGAGAAATAAATTCCTGTTCTTTAAGGCACCAGGCTATGGTGTTGTGTATGGCAATCTGCGTAGACTGGAAACAGCTCTGATGCATGACTACTCTCTAATCTTCAGATTCTATTTACATTTCATCGGTTGTCCAGATAAATTCCAATTAATGTCCTTTACAGAGTAAGCATTTGTTTCTGAATGATGTGTCTTGTTAAATAGTCATGTCTTATTAGTTTCCATTAGTGTAGTAAAACTCTACAGTTTTCCCTTGCCTTTCATGACCCTGACACATCTACAGATTACACACCAGTTATTTTGTAAGATGGATTTAAGTTGGGTTTGTCTGAGGTAGGAATCATACTTACTTAACGTAAATTTGGATTCTACCATTTAGGGATGTGGCATAGAGAGGATGTTCAATAACTGAGGAATGAATTTAGTGATTGAAAAGTACCTGCTGTGATACTCTGGTTCTGATTCACTTGGCTGATGCTAATACCTACTATTTCAAAATTTTAAAGAGAAAAAACTCACATGCATTGAAAATAGTGGAAAAAATGAAATAACCTCAAGTATCTGGGCCCTAGTAGTATTAAGCATCATCCTAAACTCCATTTGACAGGCATGCATATGCAGGCCACTGTGTAAATTAACACTGGCTTCCGTAGAGCTGTGTTTCTCAAAATGTGGTCCATGGACTGCTTCCAGTTCACATGCTGTTTCCGGTTCATGATGATGTAAGAAGAGAAATTGGGAATAAAAACTTGGAAATCTTTTATTTCTTTTCTTTTATTTATTTATTTTGGGGAGGAGAGTTTTTGCTATAGAGCACATGTGCTTGCCAGAAAGACAGAAAGAGACAGAGAGACAAAAAGTGAGAAATCACCCCCCGGGGGGGATGGCCACACTACTATCCCTTCTTCTCCATTCTCTTGGGATCTTGAGCATGCCCACACATGTGCCTGGTGTGAGTTTAAGCCACTGGGTCCAGGACTCAAATTGCAGTCGACTACATGGGAGTCCAGCAACAGCCATTACGCTAACTGCTGGTCCCAAAAACTTGGAAATCTTTTAGCATTTTGACAAAATGATTTATTTCTGCTGAATCTAATGATCCTAAAATGTGCTTACATCTTCTTACATGTCTTTTCTATTATACTTATCTGGTTAATTTGCGTCCTATTTTTTATCATTATTGACCATAATGGATTGGAAATTTCAGAAATGTAGTCATTTATCAAGGCTTATGGTAATGTTCCATTGCTTTAAGAGAATCAGAATAGAATGAGCTATAATGTATAGGATTTAACCTAGAATATGAAAAATGGGTAGGATGTGTCTCTGAAAAAAGTAAAGAGGTTGACAATGTATTCATAGTTAAGCCTAGTAGTATATGAATGTGCATATGCATGGGCATATAGGTATTTTTATGCATGCTTGTGTGTATACATGTGTAAACATGCTTTCATACATAATCTTCTGCGCACACATATGTGCACGTATATTCTTGCATATGCATTATGTGTTGGGTGCCTGCATGCATATGCACGGTCATATGTGCAAGTGTGTACATGTGTGTGTGTATTTAGAAACGTGCCTGATAAGTTCCTAGAATTAAGTGATCTCGATCTTAGTTTTAAGTGTTCTAACTGTAAAATGAGAAGCCTGGACTGTCTGCTTAAATATTTCCTTCTCTGAAGTTCTGGAGGAGCTCGTGGAGTCTTTCTCTCAGATGTAGCAGCATACGTGATTTCTGTGCCTTCCTCACAAGCCTCAAATGGCAGTTAGAGCTTATGATTTCAATAATGGGTGACCTCAACTCTTCCCACACATCATTTCACTGTATTCCAAACATTATTTCTAGCAGAGTCCCATCTGCAGACCATTTTTGCACCCTCCTTTCCCCATTTCATCTCAACCTCCAGAAATCTAGATTCCCATTGCTGGCAAAGTCCAGTAAGGTCACCTGACCAATAATGTGTCCAAGGCTGCTTTTGCCAATTCTAGAAAACAGAGCCTGTTTATGTTCAGCTTTCCACATATTTAAATGTGGGAGGAAGAGGCACAGATAGAAAAAGGAAAAATGGAATCATCCCTATAGCCTAGTAGTTAAGAGATCCAGATGGTTGACTACAGTTCAAATCTTGGCCCTAGTATCATGAAAACACAGCAGGCGTGTGTGTGTGTGTGTGCCCCAAATCCCTACAAGATGGAGATATGGAGGAGACGGCTTTACAGTATGACCACGTCCTATTGGGGGGTGCTTTCTCCCTCCCTGCCTCTCTCTTTCTGTTTTTGGTAAGCACGTGTGCCCTCTGGCAACAAAAAGAATAAAAGAAAAAAGAAAAAAGATAGAAAGAAAAAAGAACAAATGAAAAATGATAACGAGAGAAAAAGTAGAACGAAGGTAAGATGTATAGAAAACATAACCCCAAAGGAAGGAAATATTTTATTGCTTTAAGTTTTATTTACATTGATAGCTTTCATTTAGCTTAGTTCAAAATATCTTTACAAAACAACTGTCACGGAGCACATATTGCACTCAGGAGATGAAGAAAACAATAAGACATGCGAGGTTGCCCTAGATCAACTTCAGTGTTTTGGTTAGATGAGGTAGATACGCAAACCATGATTTCAACGTGATTGGTAGGGACATTTATGGCCTGTGTTTCTAGGTGGATGACAGTATCCTAAATACAGCTGAGATCTGTGGGAAGACATTGAGTATTTGGAAAACAGGGAGGGGCATAAGGAATCCTGTTATAACCATTAAATTTGAGGTGTCTGTTGAGGAAAAGAGATCGAAGGTCAAAACTGGAGAAATGTATGTTTGTTTTTCTATGTAGGTATATGTAATATCCAGGTTTGCAAAAATAGCAAGGGTTCTGTGTGCTGGTTCTGTCTGCATAGAATCATGTCTGTTGAGGAAAAGAGATCGAAGGTCAAAACTGGAGAAATGTATGTTTGTTTTTCTATGTAGGTATATGTAATATCCAGGTTTGCAAAAACAGCAAGGGTTCTGTCTGCACAGAATCATGTAAAAGCTTTGCTCTATCATTAATTTATTCCTGTCAAATTAATTTATTGCGTGAATATCTCATGCCAAACTCTAGTAATTCATTGCACATTTAAAAATATATGTTGGGTAGAGAAGAGTGCCGTAGCTTAAAACTGGTTCCAGGCTTGTGAAACATCATGTGTCTCTACCACCAAAGCGAATAGCAAAACTGTGCCAGTTACATGCCTGAACCTGTTTCGGTTTCAATTACCTGGATTATCGAGGCAGAAACAACCTTTGTGCCTCATTTACCCTTACAATTGCTTTAGTCGTCTGTTTTGCCTTGCTTTGGGCGCATTTCCATGTTCTACTGTTATTAGAAAGAAAAAAAAATCACTTCCTTTTTGGTGATTCCATAAAAACAATGAAATACACTTTACAATTCAGAAAACCAATGTTTTATAAGGTTCTACATTTAGAGAGCAGTAGGTGGCAGGGGAAGGGAGATGGTGAGAAGTATTTGCCTCACTTGTCACCTGACAGTTCATTCCCCTCTTACTCCTTTTTTACAGCAAACCTTAGTAACTCAGTGATTTTGGGGAGTGATCTTCAAGCATCTCCTGACTTACGACAGCCAAAGAGACCAAGTGCTTTTGTGAATTCTCCACATATTTGAGTCTGTTTTGTGAATCAAGTCAAGCACCCACAGTGAAACTCAAAATGGGTTCATCAATGGGGAAGAGCAGATTTACTCCTTTGATCCCCCAGACAAAATTTTAGCTTTTTCATGCAGCAACTCAAACCTAAGGAGGATTGCGACTAGATACAGAACTTAACAGCACAGTCATAATTATATTACTGGTATTTCACCCATAAAACCTACTTTTCTTGTTTCTTATGGACTACCAACTTTATTTTCTCTTTGGTTAATACAGTGTTTATGTCATGTCACTCCTTTCCTGCTGTACAGAGTCACCAAAGATGGATGTTAAGTTCAACTGGTCAATTTCACCTACATATCTAAAACATATAGAAGGAAACATACATAAACTTAAGTTGAGCATTTTAAAAATCAGAAATACACAGCTGTTAAAAATAATGAGAATAAATAATAATAATGATAATAATTTGAAAAACAACATAGCTGTTCAAATTCGTAAAGCATGTAGCTAGACTCTTATTCTTTATTTTCATCAATTAAAGTGTTTATTCACTTATGGATTTAATAAATGAGTATTGCCCATATATTATGTATTTGGTACTATACAAGACTTTGGAGACTCTGTAAGTCTGACATTGTCCTCAGGGGGACACAGACAGATCTCAGAGCAGCTTCTTATCCCTAGTAGGGCTTCCTAGAAAGGGAATGACTTCGAGACTCGGACAGATTGATAGACTGGATAAAGGAGTTCCAGACATCAAAACCCAATAATGATGTCAGGGAAAACACGCTTGAGAAATAAGAACATGGTGTATTTGGAATGTAGGGCGTAGTCAGGGAGAGGCAAGGCAGTATCATGTGCCAGATCACAAGCACTTTCATGCAGTGCCGCCGACTTTGAACTACATTTTGAAGGTCGTAAAGACAAATGAAAACATTTGGGACCAGCGGATTCCACAGTGGTTAAATAACTGGACATCCACATGTCCAGTCACAGTTCGAGTCCCACGCCTGATGGCTTGAAATTGCCGCCGGCCTGTGTGTGTGTGTGTGTGTGTGTGTGTGTGTGTGTGCCCAAAATCCCAAAAGGAGAATGGAGGAGAAGGGATTGTGGTATGACCATACCCCACAAGGGGTGATTTCTCATTTTCTGTCTCTCTGTCTTGCTGGCAAATGAACACGCCCTATAGAAAAAAAAAAAAAAAAAACCTATCTTGCTGGCAAATGAACACGCCCTATAGAAAAAAAAAATCTCTCGTAAGAAATGAATAATTGAAAGATGGGCATGAATTGATCTGATTTGCATTTTAGTTTGATCTCTGGAAGTTTTTGGAGCTGTGTGGAGGCTGTATAAATTGATCAAGTAAGAAAGATCAAGGAAGCGAAGACTGATCAAAGAAAAAAGTTGAAAAGATAGGTTGAGTATGCATATTCTAGCGATATGTTTTAGGTATCAAGTTAACAGTACTTCCCAGTCACATGTAGAAGGTTAGCACAAGTTACTAATCTTGAGTGAATCACAGAGTTGTAAGAAGGGCTGGGTAGGTCAAACCATCTGCTGCCTATACAAAAGAACAGTTTTTTGGGAAAATTATGAGCTTAATTATGAGCATGTTGAGAGATTGATGTACACAGGATATGTTTAGTTACTTACGTCAGTAGACCATTAAATAAACAACTTTGGCCCTTAAGAGAGAGAATTAGCCTGAAGATAGTGACAATATGAAGATGAAGGTAGAAGCTAATTCATTAATGTAAATAAGGGTAGCTCAGCAATATGTTTAGTGTAGGAAATTAAGGGAGCTTAAAACCATGATGAACCACTAGATTATATAAAATTACAAATCCCAGATGTGACAAAAGTGTCGCACGTAATCTTAGTGTCTTTGAATATTAACGTGGGATGATTTCTTTAATAGATACCTTGCATATTGAGGGAGAAGGATCTAAGACCTAGGGGAATATCTTTCAAAAAGAAAAGGGACACCCAAATCTTGATATTTATTATGTTTTTTTTTCCGATTTTACTCTTTAAAAATCCACTTTATATTTTCACTTGCGCATGTTCAAACCAGTGCTGTTAAAATAAGAGTTCAAAACATGACCAGAGTTTTCTCAGCGCTCAGGAATCCCACTTCTTTGTACCACATTTTTTGTTTTCTTATAATTTTTATAGCAACCAACTTGCTTGAAGAACAACCTTCTCAATGTGTGAAGTTTCAGTGATCTAACTCAGCGACCACAATATTTTCCTTCATTAGCTCTTCAGAAAGAATACCAATGACACAAAAATAAATGGGAGTAAAAACAAATTAAATATTTTACCTTCATAACATATTGCTCAATTCCTGTTATGTTTAATGTGACTTTCAGATGAATTAACGTAATTAAGAAGAATGATTTTATTTTCTATACAGTGAAACAAAGTTACAGCAAGATTAAATTACCTTACTATAAAAATTAACATGCTCTACGAGGGCATTTTTTTCATTAAGAATTGAATAGGTTTTAGGTAGTTTTTATATCCTAAAAAATATATTGTAGGCCAGTATTTTCATTAAGCTAATGTTCGACTTTTAATTAGACCTATAAGCATTAGTGAAATCTTTGTGAAAAAATATTAGTGAGGGAATAAATGGTTGAATGTCACAGATGAGTCAATTCCAGTTTTGAACTATTTTAAAATTCATAATTACTCAGGTTTCACTATATTTCATTATCATCTTTATATTATGTAGGCAAATCAATGAACTACTATCAAAACTAGAGATAGAACTTAATTATTTGATACTAGTTATTTTCTAATTCATGTTAACGGCAAATAAAATCATCATATATAATGTAACTATCATTAAACATGTATGTTGAGGCAAGGCCAAGTCATAATATATGTGTAAAGGCCTCTTGTATGAGTCATTTGTTGTTACATGTAAAACCTGAATTTTTGAAAATTTCCTATCACAAATAAAAATAATGTAGTATTGTCTGTGACCATTTGGAGCACATTGGCCTGGTAGATCCTTTATCAACCCAAATACTCCCCTCTCATTTCCCTTCATGTCTTCATGTCCCATCCCTTTTCTCGCTTTGGTGGAAAATATTCCAGGCAGAGCCACATGTAGGAAATATCCAGTCTGTCTGAAATGTTTCCAAAAGGGGGGAAAAAAGCCTTTCTAAAAGAGATTTAAAAACAAACAAATTCCTTTCCTAGCTTCTAAGCCATCATAATGTTGTTTTCAGAAGGACATGGCAGGGATGGGGGAAGGTGGAACAGTGTGGTTTTTTGAATAAAGATTTAATAATTACAAAGAATTATGTCATTCACGACTGGCATTTTTCACAAGTTTCTTGATTCAACATGTAATTAAATTAAGCTTTTGCTTATTTGAATATTGCTCCATCTAATTTTAGCAAGAGGCTTGTATCCTATTTTTATGGACTATATCTTTAATTAGCATCTAAAAATAAATCTCTCCTTCAATTAAATTACTAACATATTTTTCCAGTTTAAAATTTCATGAGCAGGAAAAAAGAGTTGGTATTTTTAGTGTCAAGAGTACATGAGAATATAAATTCTTTTTGCATTTTATGTTTAATATAAAGAATTCATGTATTCATAAAAGAGAAAAATATTTAAGAACATTTCTAAGTTGTATTAATAAAAGTAAATATTATCTTTATTAAAAAAAATTAGACCTTTCCTCTTGTAGGCAAATAGATCAGAGATCTGATTTTTGTTTTTTGTCTGTATTCCAGTTATATTACTATGAGAAATCTATAAAACTTCCAAATTCACGTCTCTTTTATCAATGTTGGAAACTTCTATGATGTTCAATGTTTGTTGGTTAGACAAGCATAAATAATTTCCAATTTGTTATCTTAAGGTAGTACTTTAACAAATTTATACTAGTCAGTGGATACATTTTAAACATGTCTTATACCCTTTTTTTTGAGAGTTTTTTTTTTTTTTTTTTTTTTTTTTTTTAAGGGGGGAGGCCCCCCCCCAACAGAAAGGAAA